AGAGTGTTACTCTACCTGCCTTGTAAACGCTCTTCTAGGGATAACTCGCCTAACCGGGTCAACTTTCCGCCGTCATGCGTGACCATTAATCGTGTCAATTTGAACGGTATTATCCAATTTCTGAGCTTAATTATAGACATCTAAAAAATAAAAAGTTATTTTCTGTCTACGATGATGATATTTTCCCTTTTTTCGTGAATTTAACCCAGAGAACTTCAAGATTATTTCAAATCTTTGACCGTTACAAAGAATGTCACGTATGACAAAGCTGGTAAAGTTGACCTAGGTGATAGGGTAACCCTACCTGTAAAATTTGCTTGTAAACCACAGCTAGCTTTAACCCGCTTGCTAAGGTATCTCTAGCACAAGGGTAACCCTCTCTCCCTGTAAACAGGCCCAAACATCCAATGATTTTCAGTTTTGCCAGGAAAAACAGATAACAAGGAATGGATTAAACAGTTGAATCGACGTCTGGAGAAAACGAAAAGCTCATCATCTTAGGCCTGACTTTCGACGTTCTCTTCTTAACAATAACTTATATATTGTACTTTCAATGCAAGAGTTACCTAAATCTTTTGAAAAATTAACGGAAAACTTTCTTGAGCCTTTCCACGATTTTTAACAAGGCCACTGTTCTAGCGATAGTATGCAGCAATGCTTTGACGATCTAATTTATAAAAGACTCTTAAAGGGTTTTTCGGACGAAATTATGTCCCCGGGAGGCGGGGGGACTGCCATATATGGGCTATATAGGCAGTTTACTCTAGGATAAGGTATATAAATCAGAGCGTTTGGGTCTAGAATAGGGTATCATTTTTCAGGAAACTGATCAGTTGGTTAAGGGCTCCAGGGTCCCAGGGGCACATCCCCACCCAAAAATTCCTAAAGTACCCCCTTACGTTTCTTTGAGGAACTCCATTCAGATTATTGAATCCAACAAAACAAATATTTGCTTTTCAGTTTACTAAAATATAAAATTAATGGGCTTGTGCACATTAGAAGACTTATTGCGATTGGATTCATAAGATCAAAGGGTTCGTGATGCGTCCGTTTCTCTGGGCAGGAACTGAAAACAGTACACCTGGAAAGCAGTGTTCCTGTGAAAATATAAGACCCGCAAAGAGCGAGGGGACAATGGATCCCGCCCAGCTAGGTGGCTGCGCTTTTCTGTATTTTCGAAGGATTCTTAGTTTATTTTTCTTTCGTAAAAAATCAAAAGAATCTGATATTAAGAATCTGATCTTGAAATATCTCAAAAAAGCGCATCCTGATTTTTGGAAAACTCTTAGCCGGTTAAATAAAGAGGAGATCTCGTGGCGTCACGTTGCCATGGTAGTAAAACTTCTGGATGACAACAAACGAAAACGTCACTTAAAAAGTGAATTCGCACTGTTTCAGACGTCATCGATCTTATTCAATTTCATTTAATATGTGAATGTTGGCGAAATTTTCTGGAATTGGAAAGGACCGTATTTATGTTGAGAAAAAGAAAAATGAAATTTTGGTGTTGAGTTCACCAACTCCATAAAGCAGAGATTAGGAAGTTTCATGTCGCAGTCGCAATACAATATCAAGTATCGTAGGTGTTGTGACATGTTCTCCTATTTATGCGATTATGGAGAAAAGGGTCAGCGTTAGTCCATCGAAAGGATCTGGGTACGAGAAAAGGTCCAACGATTCCGTTTCCACCCCCGATAAAAAACGCTCGTCTTTTTAGCCGAAGAACTGCAGAGTCAACCGAGCAAACTCTTAGAAAGTCTGATCTGCAAAAAACTGGACTTTTTCCTAGAGCGTTATATGTGACCGGGGAAGTAACTCACAATGGGGCTTTAGAAAAGGTAGATCAACAGAGCTGTTACAACTTTACATGACAGAAAAATTGAGATTTGCCCTAAATCAGAAGAAATCTGTTGGTGTCGTCTTTATAGATTTCCAAAAAGCCTTTGACTGTGCTTCCCATCAACTTCTGCCTATTTTGCTGCAAGCTTCTGGCCTCTGCTTGTAGGAACGATTACAACCTGATGTGCGTGCAAGGATAATAGGATGTAAGACCTAAATGGAACGATTTGACTTTTTCTTTGGTTTGCATCTTGGAGGGCGGCTTCATTCCCACATCAATAATCTATCTAAGGATCTTCAGAGTACTGACTGGAGGTTGGTGCTGGTGCACCAAGCTACCCCCAAACTGCCAAAGATCACTTTAGAAGGGTCTATTATGAGGAGCTATTGATCTTATCGTCAGTGCTATCTATCACGAAAGCTTCAGCTCCTACGCCCAGATGGAGACCCTCTTGGTTAAAGCTGGTAATGGTGACCACTATGAGGCAGAGTTAAAGTTTCTTGGAACATCATACAGAGAAGATGTTGATACAGGGGCGCTACCTGGGCATGCAACTGCGTACTTTGGAAGTTATATTATGGGAGAAGATGGCTGTCAGTGTGTATTGACGAAATCCTGCTGGCGGTGTCAAAGTTTCCAGAACCAGAAAAGAAGCTAATTCAGAAAGCCCAAACTATCTGTAAGCTGCCTGCTGTAAATCCTGCAACCAGCGCTGCTGACGAGCGTTCATTCTCATCTGCACGGCGTCTAAAGACGTAGCTTCCATCCAGGATGGGTGACTTAGCAGTGTTGAAAGGTCACAAGCGGAGAACAGACAGTGTTTCTATGGCTACACAGGAGTTTGTTTCCCACAATAAGAATCGCAAGAGAAGCTTCGGTACTTAGGAGGTTTATTTAACATATTGCCTATATTGGATAGTATAACACGTGTGGACGTTTATGTTATACTGATTTGTTGAGGTGGTAAATAAGATGGCGAGCAAATGCACGATAATTGGCGAAACACCGCCAGATTTTTTAGCCCTACCACCTTAAAATGGTCTCCGCGGTCCCTGGCGTGCATATGCCTGAGAGCCTCGAAACGATGACTGATTCTGTCCGACTCCGTCCACTGTTGTGAAAATTTTTTATCACTGGGGCGATGTTTTGATTTGTGTTTTGATAAACACAAGCGCGTCTTCTCATTAATTGAAAAGTGTCGCGTGACCAGTTGGCCCTGTCCTTAATGTTAGGCGGCTTTACGGTCAAGTTGCCCGAGAGTCATCTCGCCCGAAGTCATGTCGCCCGAAACCAGAGTCATGTCGCCCGAAATTTATAGTCATGTCGCCCGAAATTTCATAATGCTCAAAAAGATTCTAAAATTGCTAGTCAGAGTAAAATGTGAAACTATGAAACTCAGGTTGTTCGTTTCGCTGTCGTTTTCATGGAGATAGTAAAACTAAAATAAAACACGAAATAAAAAAGAAAAATAGTAATATCGGTTACAGTATGATTCTTACTGTTGTTATTATATGTTGAAGTATTCTGTTTTGAAAGAAGGTCCACATCACTACGATTAATACGTTGGAAAAGACCGCCATTTTGGCTACAGCACGTGCTCAAGAATCATCACATGATTGCTAAGCAAGATTGTGACATTGCGGTAAATTCAGACACGTATTAATACAAACATATTTATTGCTAGCAACTAAACCTACTTACAAGTGAGGACGTATGGGTTTTCCAAGTGACACCCGCCCCTTGAAAACAAATTTAATTGCCAACTTAAGGTAAGTTCGTGATAAAAAGAAATACTTATTACACGCGGGGACGTGTGGGTCGTCCAAATGACGCCCGCCCCTTGAAAAACAATCCAGATAGATCGATGACATGCCTAGTATTACTTAAGTAATATTTGTAGTAAGCAATATCCCTAACCAGCGTAAAAATTAGCTAGATCCTATATCGGACTTTTATTTCGTAATGAAATAAACTATTCCTTTTAAACTAGGACAATACTAAATTATCAGTTTCCCAAACACGAACGAAATGTAGTAAAAAATGAGGTAAAGGAAAATAATATGTACGAACTGAGCTCTAAACTAGCACGATCCTATATCTGATTCTTTTATATCGTGATAGAATAAACTATTTCTTTTAAACTACAATAATAACATCATTACTTTTCTGAACGCGAGCGAAAACTAACGAAGGAACTGAGCTCTAAACTAGCGCGATCCTATATATCGTGATAGAATAAACTATTTCTTTTAAACTATAATAATAATATCATTACTTTTCTGAACGCGAGCGAAAACTAAAGAAAGCTAATCAGTACGAACTGGTCCATGGGCTAAGTGAGAGTATGCTTTAAGGAGTCGCCTACTTGAAATTTTACTTGCAGCGTAGTCCTCCCAGTAGCCAAAGGTTCTTGGTGGGAAAGTGTTGGTGTTAATCCACTGGTTGTCTACATAGTCCACCAACTCATGAAGCACGGGGGTGGTCGCTTGCAACTTTAGCCGCTGGAAACTCCCTGAAATTTCTTGGTGCGGCCTAGTCCCTAGGCGTTCTCTCTTGCTCCGTTGTCCGCGCGAAGTCTGGGAGAGAGCAGGCGAGAGAACGGCGTTCTCGGCGAGTATCTCGGTGACGTCACAGCTCATGGTAGAGTCCAGGAATGACCGAGCCGAAAACGCCCGGGGACTAGGATATTCCGGATAGTTTATACCGCCACGATGAGCAATATCTTTCACGACAAACATAACTGAGGTTTTCTTTTTTTCGTGAGTATGAGATACCAGTTCTCTTCAACAACATTTCCCGATATCTCTTGTCATTAATTAAATCGGTAAGTCTCGTATCCCGTTTATAGGGAGCTAGTAATATTACAATTCCGCATATCCCTCTCCAATTTTCTTAAAATTCAGCATCCCAGCCTAAGAATAAGCCAGATCTCGGATACCGAATAACTTATTGGGGACCCTCCAAATCTCTTGCGTAGCAATCGTTTCCATTTCCTTTTAGCTGAGTCGGGAAAGCACACCAGGGAGGGAGGGTAGGGAGCATAAGAAGGAGCAAAAAATAGAAACAGAGGGAAGGGGCGGGAAAGAAAAGGCATCACCTTATTTGGCTAAAAGGCGACAGAAGCGACTGCTACGCAGCCTAAATTGCCAATTAAGACAATTTATAGGATCAAACAACGTGCTTTCTCGTGCCGATCTTCAGCTCGACTGCTTACAAGGTGTTTGTTGACTAATGCCAACTCACTACGAATTCTTTCTACATACTTACGATCTTCACCGAAAATTTGTTTCCTAATCGTCAGTGCTTTTGCGTGAAGTTCTTTGGCTTGATTGTATTCTCCAAGGCGTTCGTACACTAATGCCAAGTTGTTATAACTACTTGCTACATAGGCATGATCTTCACCAAAAATCGTTTTGCGAATTATCAGTGCCTTTTCGTGAAGTTCTTTGGCTTGATTGTATTCTCCCAGGCGTTCGTACTCTAATGCCAAGTTGTTATAACTTGTTGCTACAGCGGCATGATCTTCACCAAAAATCTTTTTTTTAATAATCAGTGCTTTTTCGTGAAGTTCTTTGGCTTGATTGTATTCTCCCAGGCGTTGGTACACTGTTGCCAAGTTGTCATAACTTGTTGCTACATCGGCATGATCTTCACCAAAAATCTTTTTGCTAATTATCAGTGCTTTTTCGTGAAGTTCTTTGGCTTGATTGTATTCTCCCAGGCGTTGGTACACTGTTGCCAAGTTGTCATAACTTGTTGCTACAGCGGCATGATCTTCACCAAAAATCTTTTTGCGAATTATCAGTGCTTTTTCGTGAAGTTCTTTGGCTTGATTGTATTCTCCCAGGCGTTGGTACACTATTGCCAAGTTGTCATAACTTGTTGCTACAGCGGCATGATCTTCACCAAAAATCTTTTTGCGAATTATCAGTGCTTTTTCGTGAAGTTCTTTGGCTTGGTTGTATTCTCCAAGGCGTTCGTACACTACTGCCAAGTTGTTATAACTTGTTGCTACAGTGGCATGATCTTCACCAAAAATCTTTTTGCGAATTATCAGTGCTTTTTCGTGAAGTTCTTTGGCTTGATTGTATTCTCCCAGGATGTTGCACACTAATGCCAAGTTGTTATATCTTGTTGCTACAGCGACATGATCTTCACCAAAAATCTTTTTTTTAATAATCAGTGCTTTTTCGTGAAGTTCTTTGGCTTGATTGTATTCTCCCAGGCGTTGGTACACTAATGCCAAGTTGTTATAACTTGTTGCTACAGTGGCATGATCTTCACCAAAAATCTTTTTTTTAATAATCAGTGCTTTTTCGTGAAGTTCTTTGGCTTGATTGTATTCTCCCAGGCGTTGGTACACTAATGCCAAGTTGTTATAACTTGTTGCTACATTGGCATGATCTTCACCAAAAATCTTTTTGCGAATTATCAGTGCTTTTTCGTGAAGTTCTTTGGCTTGATTGTATTCTCCCAGGATGTTGCACACTAATGCCAAGTTGTTATAACTTGTTGCTACAGCGACATGATCTTCACCAAAAATCTTTTTTTTAATAATCAGTGCTTTTTCGTGAAGTTCTTTGGCTTGGTTGTATTCTCCAAGGCGTTCGTACACTACTGCCAAGTTGTTATAACTTGTTGCTACAGCGGCATGATCTTCACCAAAAATCTTTTTTTTAATAATCAGTGCTTTTTCGTGAAGTTCTTTGGCTTGATTGTATTCTCCCAGGCGTTGGTACACTGTTGCCAAGTTGTCATAACTTGTTGCTACATCGGCATGATCTTCACCAAAAATCTTTTTGCTAATTATCAGTGCTTTTTCGTGAAGTTCTTTGGCTTGATTGTATTCTCCCAGGGTGTCGCACACTAATGCCAAGTTGTTGTAACTTGTTGCTACAGCGGCATGATCTTCACCAAAAATCTTTTTGCGAATTATCAGTGCTTTTTCGTGAAGTTCTTTGGCTTGGTTGTATTCTCCCAGGATGTTGCACACTACTGCCAAGTTGTTATAACTTGTTGCTACAGCAGCATGATCTTCACCAAAAATCTTTTTTTTAATAATCAGTGCTTTTTCGTGAAGTTCTTTGGCTTGATTGTATTCTCCCAGGCGTTGGTACACTGTTGCCAAGTTGTCATAACTTGTTGCTACATCGGCATGATCTTCACCAAAAATCTTTTTTCTAATTATCAGTGCTTTTTCGTGAAGTTCTTTGGCTTGATTGTATTCTCCCAGGGTGTCGCACACTAATGCCAAGTTGTTGTAACTTGTTGCTACATCGGCATGATCTTCACCAAAAATCTTTTTGAGAATTATCAGTGCTTTTTCGTGAAGTTCTTTGGCTTGATTGTATTCTCCCAGGTGTTCGTACACTAATGCCAAGTTGTTATAAATTGTTGCTACATCGGCATGATCTTCACCAAAAATCTTTTTGAGAATTATCAGTGCTTTTTCGTGAAGTTCTTTGGCTTGATTGTATTCTCCAAGGCGTTCGTACACTACTGCCAAGTTGTTGTAACTTTTTGCTACATCGGCATGATCTTCACCAAAAATCTTTTTGCTAATTATCAGTGCTTTTTCGTGAAGTTCTTTGGCTTGATTGTATTCTCCCAGGCGTTCGTACACTACTGCCAAGTTGTCATAACTTGTTGCTACAGCGGCATGATCTTCACCAAAAGTCTTTTTGCGAATTATCAGTGCTTTTTCGTGAAGTTCTTTGGCTTGATTGTATTCTCCCAGGGCTTTGCACACTAATGCCAAGTTGTTGTAACTTGTTGCTACATCGGCATGATCTTCACCAAAAATCTTTTTTTTAATAATCAGTGCTTTTTCGTGAAGTTCTTTGGCTTGATTGTATTCTCCCAGGGTGTCGCACACTAATGCCAAGTTGTTGTAACTTGTTGCTACATCGGCATGATCTTCACCAAAAATCTTTTTGCGAATTATCAGTGCTTTTTCGTGAAGTTCTTTGGCTTGATTGTATTCTCCCTGGCGTTTGTACACTAATGCCAAGTTGTCATAACTTGTTGCTACATCTACATGATCTTCACCAAAAATCTTTTTGCGAATTATCAGTGCTTTTTCATGAAGTTCTTTGGCTTGATTGTATTCTCCCAGCCTGTGATACACTTCGCCAGTTACATTCAAAACCCTGCCTTTACGAGCAAACGCACCCGTTGAAGTGTCATCTAAGTTCCGCAGTAGGTCGTATGCCAAGTTGACCACACTTTTCGCAAAGAAGAAATAGGAGCTTTCTTGACAGACCCCGGCGAGATTATGTAGCCAATCAATAACTGTATCCAAATCTATGAAGGGCGCAAACCTTTCTGAAAAAGTGCTTTCATCTGAACTAAACTCTGACGTCATCTGCTTAATTAAAGATTCACAGTGGGGCCTCAATTTTGTACGAAACGCATAATTCTCGAAATTTTCTTCGAGTTGGGAGTTGAAAATCTTTACCGCTTCTGCCATGGTGTGGTCACTCTCCCGGCATGATTTCAGGTTAGCTATCTCGCCTAGTTTCAAAGCGTCATGCACTACTTTATGTAAACGTAAATAAGTTCGTTCACCCCCTTCTTCGGAATGAACAAGACTTAAAGAGGACCTTACAATGTTTGCCTTCATTAAAACCTCTGGATGGTCCTTTACTTGGGCTTTGACGAACTTTAAAACAGTTTCGAGTGGTAGGTCGTCGTTAGCGCAGAGCGAAAGAAAAGAATATGTATGAAGAAGAACCTCGTCTGTTTCAACAGCTCTTTGGATAGCCATTTCTACTGCGGCCATTGTTGTTTTAGCGTAGGCTGAACTCTCATTAGCAAGGACAGTTTCGGCCGATTTTCGCTGCCTGTATGTTGATATGTCTTGAAGGTATGCATTCCAATTATAATTTGAAGATCCACTGGTCACAACAGTTTGCACGAAATAAGCCGCAGCAGCTAAGGCCAGTGGCTGAAAATCGAGAAGTTCAGCGACATTTTCTGCTTGTACTCGCTCGGAAATTCCCGATACTGTTTCCAGCAATTCCACTGCCTCGTCCCGCCTCATTCCTTTGCTTAACGATTCATGATACGTGTGAGGAGCGTTTTGAGGAATTGTACCACTATCTTGAGTGGTAATCAGCACTTGTCCATGGCCCCATTCTTTACTACCAGTTTGAGGAAGCAAGTCGCGGACTAAGCGTAAATCAATCACATTGTCTGCTATTATCAACCATTTGGTAAACTTGCTGGTCTTCGGCAAAATCAAGCGATGGAGCTGTTTGATTGCTTCAATAGGTTTCTCCTCTTTTATAGATTCTAAGCCTTTTAACGCGTATTCTGTTATCCCTAAGTGTCTCCCAAGGGCGAGGTAAGAGTCACAAAGTTTGTCAATGCTTTCTGTGTTCAGTGTCGCCACAAAGATCAGATCATTGTTTTGTTCAGAAAAGAACTGTTGTTCGATTTCCCGGGCAAGTTGGCTCTTGCCACATCCTGGATTTCCTGACAAATACACTGTACTGACTGCTCCGCTTGAACTTTTGTTAAGTTCCTGCATTTCGTTAGTGATTCTTTCAATATCATGCGAGCGCCTGATAGTATCGTGTGGTGGGCACGATGCGAGAATGCAAAATGGCTGAAGTTCCACACTCATTTCCTGTGTGAGGGAAACTAGGGCAGCTTCGGTACTTTGAAGAGCGCTTTTTGTCTGATCTAACTCGGTTTGGAGATCACGAACTTGCTTCCTTATTTTTTCCACTTCCTTCGTCGGAAAGGTCTTCTGGTTCTTTATTTCTTGAATCTCAGTTATAGCCAGACCAAGGGATGTAAAAGCGTTCAACACTCTGTCTACAGAAGTTTGGAAGTCGGCATCTGTCAACTTAGCTTCGGTGATATGAGCGATCTCGTTTCGCACCTGACGAATATCATCGACCTCTTTACGGACAGCTGGACTTAAGGTGTTACCAATGCTGTCCGAGTACAGAATGGCAAAAAACAAACAGGTACAGTCCCACTCTGCCGTGTCACCATTGTGGATTATTGCCAGAGATCGGGCGTTTTTCTTGTGACTTGCTTTAGATTCTTTGTTGTAAAAATCATGTCCATTTTGTGCCGTGTCTTTCCATTCTCCAGTTAACGTTGTTTTATAAAGGAAATCCCATTCGTTTTTGAAAATGTGCCGCAGTCCCACTGGAACTAAATCAAATGCTATGTAGCAGAGTCTGAAGTAGTTTAGTTGCTCTTGCGAGTATTCCATCACCAACTTATAATCCTAGTAAGAGATATTGCCTATTAGCTTATTTTCTCTTCAGGCCAAAACAAAGATTATTTACTTAGGGACGGACCATTAGAAAAGTTATAGTGGGGGTGGGGAATTTTCGAGCCGCAGGAATATTTTTTCGTTATCACATTCCTTGTATGAATATTTTTTAGGGCATGGCATGAATATTTTTTAGGGTTAATTGGCGTGCATGAATTTTTTTCATTTAATTTTCCCTTGCGCGAATATTTTTTTTGTACTTCGCCCGCCCCCCCCCCCCCCGATAAGTTTTCTAATGGTCCGTCCCTTATCATTTTGAAAATGGCAAGAATCACCGCTGCTTATGTAACACAGTTATTCCATAAAATGATTATGAAAAGCAAGCCGTATAACTAATGATAAACTAAGTTTAATACGGGACGCTAGGAAAGTAGCTATAGTTTTGCGCTGATAGATAAACGACTGCGTCTGGGCTTCAAACACAACTTGCTTATCAGGGACCAGGCTCAATCAGCAATGTGTTTCTACGACAGTACCAATAATGATCTAATAGACGCCAGGTTCGTTTATTTAATTTTAAGGGTCATCGAAGAGCACTTTCCTTACTTTGAACTTGGTGTTGAACAAGATGCAATGTACAAACCATTGTCAATCAAGCAATAAACCAAATACCGGTGAATTGAATGATTTTGCTATATTTCGCTATTCCCGAGTATTGTGGAGTAATGGTCATGGAAGGCATTTGTTAGACAGGGGGTGTGGAAAGTCGTTTAATTTGAGACAAGAGCCGGACCTTTATTTGTATTTGAAAAGGGGCTTCTACTAGATCATGTATTTCATTCGATGTTAGTGTCTCCCTTGTCAAACACAATAATGACGATTTACTTTATTTTGATCAGTGCACAAATTTTAAGAGTTCTTGGCCTTTTCGAACAGTGCTTCGTTTGGATGACAAGTTGAGGGTAACAGATATCCTAGAAGAATGTAAAAGTAGAGTAGAAGAAGGATGCGATAAGAAGCAGGAAAGAGATTAAACATGTTTGTCTAGAAGTGCGCTCTTTTCGATATGCAAGCCCTGTGAACTCCAGAGCTTTTTTCTTTGCGCGGCTGAAAAAAAGGCTCTCGAGTCGAGATTGGTGGGGAGGGGGGCGACAGGTAGCACCACCGTCCCATAGACAGGTTTAGAGCTCGGGGGGAGAAAACGATCACATAGCAAAAGAGAACAAAGCGGGTTATACAAAGTTCTCTGCAAGTTCATTGATTTTCTCGCAACTGAGATTGGTCTTAAAAACGGTACACAAAAATTTCTCTTAAACCTTTAACCCTTTTCACTCCAGACTGAGTTATGGTGAAATGACCAGGCATTTTCATTTGTACCTCTGGACATTGTAATTGCGTGCCCACGCCCTCCTTCCCCGGAGCCCGGAGGGTTACTTCCTATAATAGTCTATACGGGGAGGCTCCGCCCGAAAGGGTTACCTTTTTCAGAGGTAAATGAAAGGGTAGGGATTTCACTTGTAGAAGTATATGATAGGGTTGGAAAATATGTCACTGCGTCGGTAAAAAGGCTCAAAAGGGCCAACAGGTGCATTTCAAGGCAGTGAAAAAGTTGAGAAAAAGTTCTGGTTTCGTGATTTATTCATATTTTAAAGACAGTGTATTTACAGTTGTTGAAAGGGATGCAAAGTTCTATACTTGGTGTGTGAAAGGGGTATCATTTATCAATAGAAGGTATACGAAAGGGGGAACGTTTCTGTCAAAAACGGTAAGGGGTCGAACCTCGGGGTGGAGCCTCCCCGTATGCCATTTTTCTTGTACCTCCCCGAGACATTGTGAACTCGTGACGAAGCCCAAAGAACGCGCGTCTGCGTGGGAGGCCTAACATACCTTATTATAGGAAATTAATAAACGCTCCATGAAATTAAGGTTGGAAACTAACGCGAATTTAATGGCAAACGACTTTCGAATAAAGAAAATTAACGCCAAAGAGGAGGTAGAATTCCATGATAAAGGAAATTAACGCGATTAAGACACAGTTGGTGGTGACTGATTTATTTCAACACTGGATGCAAAAACATTCAAAACTGAACAAAACTGAGCTGACATCACTTCTAACAGTGACATCGATGAAGATGAACTCGAAATACCGTAAACCTTCGCCTTAGCTTTAGTGAAAGATGAAAAATAAAGGGTAAATGGAAAGAAAGAAAGCTTGTAGTTAATGTTTTTTAGGTGTCAAGAATGTCTGGACAGGTTCCAGAATTGGGGTTAAAATACTGGAAATTAGGAGCGCGGAAATTAACGCTGCACTTAATTAACGTCGAGGAAATTAATGCTCAACAAATTTAACGCGACTTAAATTAACGCGAATTTTAACGATTCGCGTTAATTTCATGGAGTGTTAATTTCCTATAATAAAGTATTTCCGGTCGTCGCCTTGCTTCAATCACCGAAAAGTAACGAGAGACGACCGGAAATACGTCTGCGTTCAAAGTCTACTTCAAATGAAACCTATTTCTCTTTGGCCGTCTTTTTTCGGAGAATTTTCACCTCTTAAGACTTTACCCAAGTAAATTTTTGTTTTTCTGAATTTTTAAGTTGGGCACTGTTAGGATTTACTTCTGCGCAGAACGCGATGAATCCTCGCTATGAATGATGACCCAGACATCAAAGCACACAAATCATTTGCAAATGAACATTCGTTTGATGTTTGATTCCTGTTTCAAATACGAAACTCTCATTCGTTTTGATTTTGGACAACGAATGACCCACCGTGATCGGTGTATTATTCAGGCAAGGGGATCAGTACTAACAACCCCTTTAATGAGCGTATTTTTAACGAAATAGAAACCATGATCGCGCAGAAACGTACAAGGAAGTGTACTCGCAAATGTAGACATTTCCGATGCTTACGCGAAAATAATAACGGTTTCGAAGAACCAGATGGACATAACAAGTAAACTCTTTTCATCACCACAAATTCTACACCATGCATCCAACATGTACTCAAGACAGTGGCGATAGTTCTGTGTACCGAGGCCACCAAATTCTTTAAACGGTAATGTGTGGTGTACAAGTGGAACTTCGACAAAATAATTATCCTGAATTTATCTGTGGGTAGGTTAAGCTGAATAACCAATGCAAAATTACTCACCTTACCCAAAATTAATCCAAGGAACTTCGATTTAATAAAACATAAGGTAGCACGATGAAGAAGAGAAATTGATTGTCCAGAGCGGAACTGCTCGAAATTGATCTAAAGCGATCACCTGACCGATAATATTGGCGTCTGACTATAAAGACAGATCACACAAATGTCGTTATGGTCGAGCTATTTTACGCTATTTTCACAGTCACGCTATTCGAAGAAAATGAGGGCCCGTAAAGGCGCGGCGGGAGGGGAACCCGAAGGCTATGCTGGTCGGAAAATTAGAATTAAACCCCTAGGATTTATTTGACCCCCAAAGGATCGATTCTGTCAACCTAAAACGTTTAAACTTGCTTAAAATTTTACAAGTTCGCTTTTATACGGAGGGAGCGGAGCAAGTGTAAATGGGTGGCGTTTATCCTGATAACTGTGAAAACCTCGACACAACTAATATGCTTCGACAACTAAGGTAGAACCGGCCCGAAGAAAGTTGCTGATGTATTGAGCACATCAAGAATATCAAAGAGCACTTTCCTTACTTTGAACTTGGCGTTGAAGAAGATGTAATGTACCAACCATTGTCAATCAAGCAATAAACCAAATACCGGTGAATTGAATGATTTTGCTCTATTTCGCTATTCCCGAGTATTGTGGAGTAATGGTCATGGGAAGGCATTTGTTAGACAGGGGGCGTTTAATAGTGAGGGGCATCTATTACAAACAGTGTGTGGAAAGTCGTTTAATTTAAGACAAGAGCTGGGCCTTTATTTGTATTTGAAAAGGGGATTCTACTAGATCATGTATTTCATTCGATGTTAGCGGAGCTCTCGCGCGCGAAGCACCATGGGTAAGAAAATGTGGTAAACCACCCATCGGAGAAAATTTGGTAATCACGTGACCGTACACCGACCGCCCGACCGTCCGTCCGCACCACAGGCATACTAATGTAAAACAACTCAATCAACAGGTATGGCAACCCAAATGCAACTCGAGGTCATTTTGACGGGAAGTCGCATGGCTACTCGTGTCTTGTGAAGCAGAGACAACTAAGGAGTCAATGAATACGAAAACGGAAAGCGGAAATTGTCTCTATATCCGTGTTTTCTAAAGTATTAAGCTTAGATTAGTTGTCATGCCCACAAATTTGGAATATAGAGCAAGAGAAAGACCGAGAGAAAGAGAAAGTAGGCGGAAGGCCAGCGAAGTTCAACGAGAAAAAGGGCGACAGAGATCTGGAGCCGGAGATAAAAAACAAAGGAGACATTTTTTTCTTGAAAGAACAACATGAAAATTTTGTAGCGGCGGTAACAAAATGAGAAATGCAACCGGCCACCAATGCAAGGTGAAAATGAGCGGTAGTGAAAAAAAAGTGAACAAGAAAACGTGCGACATTTCCCTCATAAAACGTGTAGATAAGAAGTTTCTGGAAGTTTCACGTTGTGGTCGTGCAAAACAAAGGCAAAGAAATACATAAAAAAAAGTGTGCTGTACGTGCAAAGTTGCTTTTTTGCTAATTAGACCTATTGTTGTTTTTCACTGTTCTCCGCCGTTGCCTTCACCGCTTAGCATTACACGATTTTATATTTTGTTTGAGAAAACTATAAATATTATCGAGAGCTTCGCTTTTACCCCTGGCTAAATCTATATATTAGTGTCTCCATTGTCAAACACATTAATGACTATTTACTTTATTTTGATCCGTGCACAAATTTTAAGAGTTCTTGGTCTTTTCGAACAGTGCTTCGTTTGGATGACAAGTTAAAGGGGCTGTGTCACGGCAGTCCAGTTCATTTTGTTTAATTTTGCCAATTACTCGCCCTAAATCGCTATGGAACTTAAAGTAAGCAAA